ATAAGTTATTAACAAAAGAGAAAATCGACGCAGATAATCAATCATTGTAATTAGGTCCTTATGAACGCTCACGCTTGTTTGACCTTATCGGTAATGATTATTTGAAAATTGCCATTCAAATCCCGGCATCCTTCTGTAAAAAATACACCGAATAAAACGTTACAAAATGTCAGTTTCATCCGGTTTCACAAAGACAGCGTCGTTAGAGAAAAGTGGGATCAATTCTGCACAGCAAAAAATAAATTTTAATATTACATTTGTTTTCCGTCGATCTTGTTTTCCGTGCTGAGCACCAATGCCGCCGACGCGCCAGGAAGGCAGCTCCCACACCTGGACCCTACCTATCGACCCATCAACTCATGAACCGGGGACCAACGGCTTTACGTCCCTTCCGAAGGAAGGCATGATCAGGGATGTTAAAGGGTGTCCACGATGAAATTGCCACACTATGAAATTGCTCTAACTTTTTAACCGTTGTTAGAATTTAATGAAAATTTGGGTGGATTTAGTTCATAGTGCATTATTTACATCCTGCAAGTTTTAAAGTCCTGTGATCAAAACTCGCGGAAATGGAGTCGAAAGAACAGCTCGTGCGTGATAAAATCTTGCGCATTCATCACGAGAACAAGGATCTCTCGCATCGTTCCATCGCTAAAACGTTGGGAATCGCGAATTCCACGGTGTCGCGAGTGATTAAGCGGTTTGAGGAACGGTTGACCACCGATCGGAAGCCCAGAAGTGAAGGAAAAAGTATTCCGTACAACACCAAAAATCACAACCGCGTAGTTGGGGCCTTCAACCGAAATCCGAACGCCTCCGTTAGGGATGTGGCTAAGAAGCTGCACCTAAGCCGAAGTTTTGTCGAGAAGGCCAAAACTAAGGCTGGGCTTCGGACGTTCAAGGTACAAAAGGCTCCTAATAGCGACGAGAAGCAGAACAAGTCCGCCAAAACCCGTGCCAGGAAGTTGTACCTCAACATGCTGACGAAAGTTGAATGCTGCATCATGGACGACGAAACATATGTGAAGGCCGACTTCAAACAGATCCCCGGCAACCTGTTTTTCACGGCCAAGGATAAGTTCAGCGTTCCGGAGCATGTCCGCACTCAGAAGATGTCAAAATTTGCGAAGAAATTCCTGGTTTGGCAAGCCATCTGCACGTGCGGGAAGCGGAGTGCACCTTTCGTGACCCAGGACACGATGAACGGACAGGTGTACATAAAAGAGTGCCTCCAGAAGCGGCTGCTTCCTCTCCTGAAGGCCCACAACGTCCCAACAATCTTCTGGCCGGATTTGGCCTCATGCCACTACTCCAAGGACGTGCTGAAGTGGTATGCGGACAATAAGGTCAATTTCGTGCCGAAAATGTTCAACCCTCCCAACACTCCGGAGCTCCGCCCCATCGAGAAGTACTGAGCGATTATGAAGCAGCACCTTCTTAAACGACCTAAGGTAGTGAAGACAGTCGAGGAACTGAAGAAAGTATGGGTTTACATGCAAAAAACGGTTGATTCACAGGTTGTGCAGAATCTTATGGCCGGGGTTAAGGCCAAGGTGCGGGCATTTGCGTATGGACTGTAAATAAAATACGAGTAAAATTGTAAAATGAAGTTTAATAGTTATTTCTCAATCCCTGAAAATTTGATGGCAATCGGATCAAAACTCGAATTTTGCGAATCAATTTTGTGTGTGGCAATTTCATCGTGGACACCCTTTATGCCTCAGAACATCCCGGCGGTGCCGACTGAGTTTGAACCCAGGCCTGCTGGGATGAGAGATAATCACGCTTACCACTACACCACCGGCGCTGCTCGAATGAATGAAATTTATGATGTTTTAAGAAAAGTTTGCCATCTGACCAGTTCCACATAGTCTCGTGCGCCGCCGCGCCACGCCGCCGCCGCCCCCGCCGACGATTTCGAGTCGGCGCGCCGCCGAGACCATTTTTCATACGCCGATGACGATTGTGCTTGTTGGATTTTTTTTAATGAAAATGCAATTACTTCGATTCCCGATACCTATGTTGCATATCACATTCAATAACTGCAAAGTATGCACATAAAGCAAAACAATATTTATATCAAAATACGTTGAAATGTTCATTTTTAGACAATGATTTTAAATCGATTTAAATAATATTTACGTATTGTGCATTGTAAGATTTTTTTTTATTAATTAGTTATGCGCAAACATTTATGAAATTACGTATTATTTTCGGTGCACTTATTCCTTTTGAGCCAAGGAATAAGTGCCCAGAATATACTATGAAAAATTAACGTAAACCCATAGTTTTATAAGCGTTTGCGCAAAACTTACACAATGTGCGTAGCATTTACTATATTAGTTGGACGCAAACACTTATACAATAACGGTTCTACAATAAATATGTTTGGCGTCTTGAGGCCACTTACTCATTGGCTCATAAGAAATAAGTGCGCCGAAGACACCAAAAAGATTGGATGTAGTACCGTAGTTTTATAAGCGTTTGCGTACAAATTATAAATAAAATTTGTCTTGTGATGCGCAATAACTTTACTTCAATAATATTAATGTGCATTTGCTTACCCCCCACCAAGGCTATCGCGCCAAAAATAAAACGTCAAAGTTTATCATAGCAAATCCGTACACTTTGGAAGTATACGCAAGTGGAGCCATTTAAAGTTTGGTTTTTATACTGCTAAGAAAAATGTCTGGCAATCTGAAAAAAATATCGTTGTCTTTCCTTTCTCTTGACACCAGTCATAGCAGTGAAAAATCCAGTGCAAGTTGGAATTAATTTGGGAAGCTAATGCATGAAAAGAATCAACGAAATACTCACATCATTCCGGAAAAGGTGTACCGTAAAACGGGGTATCTTTGATAATGCGGGTAATTTTGATAGTATAATGTAAAGATTAAATTTACTCACTGCGCTTTTTCCAAATTAGAAACATTGGTTCCATATTGTAGCTTAGGGTATTTTCGTTGATATCGTATATAGTTTTTATATAGTATGTGTTACATATTGAACAAACATATTAAAAAACAATTTTCGTGTTTTTCGCCTGTTTAAAAAAGCACTCAAACCATCACTTATGAAATGTATCTCCGATATAGTTATCACAAATTCAACGTTATATTCTTATTGCTTATGATGTTTTCTGATTATATAGGGGGAATGACGGCTTCGGCATGACAGACTATTTTCGGCAACCCAAATTGAAACGGTAATTTCACTGGATTTTCTTAAGAAAACACTTCGCTGAATGCATTAAAACTATTCATTAGGCTTTCAGCTTCAATTTGATTATATGTTTACCACTGAGAAAAAGCAATCTAGCAGGGTTTTCTTGAAATGAAACACACGCACTACAAAATGCTGCTGATTTCGAGTTGCCGATGAAAACACAGCTGTTTAACTCGCAGCTCAAATAGAAAGGTTGCCGAATAAAAAGAGGTTGCCCACAATAGTCGCTCTCACTAGAGAAGATTGGAGCATTGTAAAAGCTTTTAAAAACAGGTTTTGATAATTCTTTCGACTGAAATTGTTAGAGCAGCTGGCAGCAAAAGATTGTAAATAAACCAATACTGCATATGTGTGCGTTCCTTAGAGAAAAAGGCTATAGAAAGACGGTCGCTGCATAGGTTGCCGAGAATACGTAAATTCCCCTACTCATTCAAAGTTTCATATTTAAAGAACTTAATTGTTTGAGTTTCACTCATTTTTTTCTACATTCATCGAGCATTATCAAAGTAACCCAAAATCATGAAACTGAAGTTCGGTCACAAAACTAAAAAAATTGTGCAAATACTTTAATTCCCGTTAAATATATGACTAACGAATTGACTCTTGAATCCTCAGTACTTGTTTTAAAAATATAAAATTTGAAAAACATTCATTGCTCTAAAAATGATTTAGAATATACCTTAAAAAACTATCAATGTTACCCCGTTTTACGGTACTGTAAAAATCACGTTACAAAATAACTCCCACACTAATGTATGAAGTAACTAATCAGAAATATAAATGAAATATAATCGGTTCAAGTGACTTTTCGTTTAAGTTCAAATTTTTAATGTGATATTTTTACTGACACCATAGTGGCACGCCGATACACGCCGCCGCCGCCGCCGCCGCCGCCGCCGCCGCCGCCGCCGCCGATCAAGCCCAACGGCGTCACGCCGTGACGCCGCCGCCGCCGGTGCATAAATGATTCCTACGCCGCCGCCGCCGATGGTATGACCGGCGCACAGGTCTAATAATAGCATTCCGGTTGGTGCTAAACTACGCAAGACTAAAAACACGATTGAGGTGCATCCACTTTGATGTGATATTGCAATTATTTTTTTGCTGTGTAGATAAAATTCTGAAGAGGATAGGTTGATTGTTCTGCTAGAGTATGACAGTGTGAAAATAGAATAGAAGTTAAAATTGAGCGAAGGGCCATTAATGCGACAATACTTGTCAAATGCACACTCCTTTACCTAACTCATTAATGGATGAGTGGACTTGAAGTTTTTCTCAATATCAATATCCATTTAAGTTATCGCGGAAATGTAATAAATTTTTGGTTAAAATTTACTTTAAGCTTAGAGTGATCGCCTTGCCCCAATCCCTTATGACTGGGCAACTTCACGCACGTCTTTATGCACAGCTAATATCTCGTCATCAGCAATGAATCAGTAATTCAATGTCTGTGTTAAGAGCATTCTATAGAGACAATATTTATTGGTTCTCTTTCCCCTCTTTAAATATTATTTAATTTTATAGAGTTTTCACAGCGGTGTGTTTGCAGACTTATTTTATTTTATAATCAGAACGATAATTGCATCACTTGAAATTACAGTAATGCACAGAGTTGTAAGCACTCATTCAGTAAATACTTGAAATCACATTTGCATAATTTGTATCCATGGGTGCCTCTGATTAATTTTTAATTAAAGCGTGTAGCCTTGACCTTTCAAGAATCGACATTAATTCCAGTAACGTGCCACGCTGGCCACGGTCTAACTTTAACTTACCCACTACGTTGAGCCGAAAGGCCTGCGAAATTTTCGGCTCTATTGACACTTGGCACTCGTACGTGCCGGAATCGCGAGGCTGCGGCGAGGTAATCCTCAGTGTCCACTCGTCACCGCCATCGGTGTGCAGCGATTGAAACCGTTGGTCGTTGGTGTACGTCAGGATTCCCACCGTGAGAATGTGCAGATCACGCTTCCGAATCCAGGACACCTGGAGGAATTAAAGGTTAGCGGTGTTAAAGTGTGTTCAAAATGGACATGAACTAATCTCAGTAGAGTGGATTTTCCATTCAAGTTGAGCGATGCTTACCGCTCGGTCGCCCAGATTTCGCACCCGGCAGTGCAGCAGCGCAGATTGACCGACGGTTGCGGTTATTTCCCGCCGGGTGCTGTTGTCAAAGTAAGGCTGGGCGTAGGGCTGCTCCCAGTATGACTGTACTTCGCCACTGATAACGTTGAGCACTGGAACAAGAGGAAAATGGAAAATGCTCTCGTGAGTATTATCGCTGGTAAAGAAGATTATACTTTGGGGATAAGACGTGTGCAAGCAAGCAAGCAGATGCAAACGGAATCGATCGACTCTATCGCAAACAGACAGACTGGAGGAGTGGCATATCCTATCCGACTTGCACATTGAGTTCAATCGTATGGTTCGCATCTATCGGATCGGAATGGATCAAATATATCAACCCAATTTGAAATTTTACGTAACAATAATCCCACAGACGTGCCAAGAAACCAAACGACTTAACAGTGGAAAGTGGATTTGAGTGGATTGGAGTCCATGTGGGATGACGGGCTAGGGCTAGGAGCAATTCCCAAGTCAACAGGATGGGGGAAGGATGTGAGCATGTACGTGACGAGGCCTCTTTACTTTAGCTGCAAAAGTGTAGAAAGGATGGGGTGTGGGGAGTTTCCGTTGAGAACCTGCCATCACCACAAATCTTCTTGGAATATTAGCAAACGAATCTTTTGTTTCCTGACACACATAAGTTGGACGATGACGTAGGTTTAGAAGTGTCTCCATGGAATCTGACCATGTTGTGGTTTGTTTTGTCTTTTCATGTAGGATGATGGGAAAGGCCAGCCTATTGCAGGTGATTGGAGTATGAGATGGGGAACGGAATTAATTTTCTGATTGGTTAGTTTCAGATCCGTTTGGATTCAGTTTCCATTCTCCTCAGGTTGGCGAATCTCAATTGAGGTTAGAATTGCTTATGACGTGTTTAATAAAAGCCACATTTTACACGTAACATTTGAAAAGGGCAGATCAGCTTTTGTAAACAAATCAAGCCGATAGAACGATTTTTTTGAATTTTTTAAGTTAACTATGTAGTTGCATAAATTTCACCACATGATAGTTTGTCAATTCATCTAGTGGAAGTTGGCTGCGCTGCGAAAGTGGCGTGATGCGTCGTTTTCGTTCTTATGAACAGTATTGGCAAAATCATCTATCAAATGATATTATTCCACTCTCATATTTACGGTCTCAATATCACGCATGATATTGGAGCAAAATTGAACATACAACGTTGCATTGGAGTTGAACGGGTTTTCGCTGTGTTGCTGCTTTTCATGTTTGCACTCACACATAATATTTTTCCCCTTTTGTTCCAACATGTATCACACATGTGGGCGCGTCCAATGCTTGAACATTATGTTTCAACGTCCTAAACAACAACAGTGCAGTGTGTTGACGTAGAACTACGTCTTTGTCGACTATACCCAAGTAACCATAGGCAGGTTATTTCGCCTTTTTGGCTATATACGGGCCTCATTAGAACTTGCAAACACTGGTAAGTCGTTGTTCAGCTGTATATAGTCAAAAAGGCGAAATAACGTGCCTATGGTTACTTGGGTACTGGGGTACAAATCAAAAAATATGTGTGGTGGTTGGTGTTAGGTTTTGAACGCTTATAACTTTGTCATTTATAAATGAAATTAAAATCCAAATACGCCAATCGATAGGATATTACATTACGGACCGGCTGAAATAAATATTTTTCCAATTTTTCTCTAATTAATCTTTTGGAAATGTCCAAATGATAATTTTAGCACTGTTTTCATGAAATAAGCATTTTTCACAAACCCAGTCATCATAAACGAATACCACTTGGTTGCACATCATTCTGCTTGAACCTGAAAAGATATATATCAGCGCTGCTCTCCTGCCTCTGCTCATTACCGCTTCGGACGGCGTGGCACTAGGTTCTGCAGCAAGCAGGACTAAGTCAGCAGCTAAAGGTGGATCACGGCGTGTCCACCACAATGAGGAATGATACTTAAAAAAACGTGCATGTAAAACCCCCTCCCCCTTAACAACATATCTGGTAGAGGAATTTACGTATTCTCGGCAACCTAAGCAGCGACCATCTTTCTATAGCCTTTTTCTCTAAGGAACGCACACATATGCAGTATTGGTTTGTTTACAATCTTTTTCTGCCAGCTACTCTAACAATTTCAGTCGAAAGAATTGTCAAAAACTGTTTTGAAACGCTTTTACAAAGCTCCAATCTTCTCTAGTGAGAGCGAGTATTGTCGGCAACCAGTTTTTCTTCGGCAACCGTTCCATTTGAACTGCGTGTAAATCTGCTGTTCTATTATCGGCAACTCGAAATCAGCTACAATTTGTAGTGCGGGTGTTGCATTTTAAGAAAACCTTGCTAGATTGCTTTTTCTAAGTGGTAAAAATATAGTCAAATTGAAGCTGAAAGCATAAAGAATCGTTTGCATGCATTAAGCGAAGTGTTTTCGTAAGAAAATCCAGTGAAAATAGTGTTTCAATTTGTGTTGCCGAAAATAGTCTGTCATGCCGAAGCCGTCATTTCCCCCATCTCTATAGATGAAATTATATTAACATCCAAAGTCTATCCTTTTTTCCATATTCTGCACAAAAGAAACGTTCTGCCTCGCCCCCATTCATAATAAAATGGCGGGAAATTTTGTCAGTTTCGGGGCTTAGAAAGTATGTTTTGTGCAGAATATGTAAAAAAAGGAGGGACTTCGGATGTATTTTTTCTGCAAAATATGTAGAAAAGGAGGGACGTCGGATGTTAACCTAAATGTATATATCATGCATCATAGATATAGATAGATAGATAGGTTCTACGTCATACTGCGGTCGTGTCTAGGGCACAACCTTTTAATTTTTTTGATTAAATTAAGATTAATCTCCAGGGACTTAATTTTGATTTCTTGGTGAATATGCATGCAGTGCGCGTAATTTATGCTTTTGAGTTCATAAAAATGTGTATGGCTGAATATAGTATGTATTACGTTGGTACAAAATTTATAGAGAACATATATTTAAAACAACATTTGCCTTCTATTTTTGTTTAAATGCTCAATAAAACAACTAAGGATAAGGGCACAGACAAACAGACATAACTCTCACAATCATATTCTTGGTAAATAAGGTTTCAGTTCGGAATGTGCTCGCATTTGTCATGGTGGCGCCACTGAACCGTCAAGCAAGTCCACACATTTTGAACTTATCAGTGGTGCCAGTTCGTTTTCAGGTCAATTTAGTAGATGTCAGCTCTTGAAATAACAAGGCAACGCAACAAATCGCCTTTCATTGTTTCTTGGGAAGGCATTCCACATAGGTACTAATCTGACGAATACAGAAATAAAAGTTATTGATGGTGATGATGATGGTTCCTGTGCTTACTCCTACAAAGATTTGAGCTGGACGATTTATATTTAAGATAATTAATTATAACATTTAACCAGATTAGCAAACAAAAACGAACTGGTTACAGTTACAGATATAAATTGCCTCAACACTTTTCAGCTACGCGATTTAAATGTGAAAAAGCTTCGGCTTTCACCTCTTTGTTCACTCTTTTGTCCACCTCAAATATTCACAAGCATTCCCAGCAATCAAGAGTTCATGAATAATACACAAAGCATTATAATGCACTATCAACCCCGCAATCTGATGCTATCGTAATTTTCAGCAACGTCAGGAATGCATTGAATATTAAATTCTAAATGCTTGATCGTTCCACTTGTAGTGTAATATTACGCTATACGATGTACACAGATTTTGACAATAACTCATTTTAATGAGTGAAATATTGTATCCACTTTTACCATCAATGAGTTCAATACATCATCATATTGATTGATACATATTATTATTTTTTGCTGTGTCATATTAAAGTAATGGGCGGTGCTAGAAAAGGAATTCATTATCACGATTAAAAGCTTGTTGCCAGCAAAATAAAAATCACGCAAAACAAACAAAACAAATCTCTAAACGTAGACTGAACTTTTGTCATACGGATCCGTATTTCTGATAAATTTATTTGTTTATTTATTTATTTATTTATTGTTCCAATGATTGATCTGACATATGGTTGTCTTAATGAATTAAAAAAGTATAATTAAAACAAAAACAGGACACAGGACAGTCTTCTAATAAAAACAGTTAACGGCACATTAAAGTCAAACAATGCATAGACGTCATTAAACGCATTAGCGACGGCTCGGATAGGTTCATTCAACCCATATTGCCGATTACGAGCTGCGAGATGTACAAAATTACGCTGTCTAATCACTCTCTCAGGTGCGTAAAAGAAAAGCTGCCGGAGTAATTCGGGGGAATCAATCTCGCTGGTAATGATTTTAGCAGCAAAAACAGCTTGAGCGGTTCCGTCGTCTTTGTTCCAAGGTGTCAATTCCAAGCAGACGACAGCGATCCACGTAAGACGGCAAGTTAGCCGTGTCACGCCAAGGCAGATGACGAAGCGCGTTGCGAACAAACTTTCTCTGTACATTCTCAAATCTGGCTATCCAGCATGCTTGGTATGGGCACCAGACGACAGCACTATACTCTAAGATTGAACGTACTAACGAACAATACAGCGCCCGCAGGCAAAGCGGACCGTGAAGGTCTTCAGATATTTTGAACATAAAGCCAAGCTGCCTGTTAGCTTTAGTTAGGATGTCATTGTAGTGCGGTTTGAAGATCGATTCACAGTCCAGTGTTACTCCCAAATCTTTGACCTGGCTAATCCTCTCTAATGGTTGCCCGGAAATGGAATAATCAAATATTATCGGTTTTTGTTTGCGGTGAAATTAACTCACATTGCACTTGTTGATGCTGAGCGTCAAGAAATTACGGAAGCACCAACTCTGCATACGATCCACAATCAGCTGCAACTCCTCACAATCAGCGATGCAATTGATAACCGCATACATTTTAACATCGTCAGCGTAGAATAGCCGACATCCAGGTGGCAGTAGACACGAAAGCTCGTTGACGAAAAGCGAAAACAGAAGGGGTCCCAGATTACTTCGCTGGGGAACGCCGGAAACGTTCGTGAACACTTCAGAACGAGAAGCTCCAATCTTAACGCAAAGCGAACGGTTCGTAAGGTAAGATATGAACCACGAGATGAAGGATCCAGACACTCCGAGTTTCTCAAGCCTGCTCAAAAGAATGTTGAGGTCTACTC